TGTAATCTTACCATTAGTCACCCCCTCCCCCAGTAACATGAGCCTTCCCTCCTCTTTAATTGCCTTTCTCTATACACTGCTTTATGAAATACCTCCTCACACCCTTAGTTCATTCGTATTAGCTTTCCTGGACGCTCCCGCATAGAAAAACCCTTAGAGTGAAAATATGTTTTAGACCAATTCATACCGTAAGTTTTATACACAACACAAATGAGGGCACTGATTATTTCTAATTCTTGAATCAATCTAATATTTTCTATAGCATAAATTTAATGAGCATGCTATCTCTATTTAGTGAAACTGCCCTAGGCATACAAATATAGATAACGGGTCATGTATTCTTTCCTTCCAAGTAGCTCCTTAATCCTTCTTTACAATGCATCAGTTTTAGCAACAATTTTGTCCAAGAGGATAGGTAAAGAAAGTCTTCTGCACTGGAGTTATCAAAACAGCTCAGTGGAAGATAAAGAACAGCTCAATGATGGTCAAATATTTTACCAGCCAAGAAAGATCTGTCATTACTTACACTGTACAGCATAAGATGCGAGGACAACAGCAGAATTAAGAGGGCATAACAACCTGAGAAAAGAGAAAAACAGTTTTTTTTAATATATATACTTACACATAGCATGAATAGGTAGAATATTAACCATTTCTCTGCAATGTATTTTGTAACGTTTAATATTAATCTTCAGCAACTCTCACTGACTTTTTTAAACAAAAGACAATAGTCATAGCATAGTAGGGTGATGAAATTAAGTTGTGTAACAGCTCATTAATGGAATGGAAATAACTTGTCTTAAATGGATATGTTCATATCCTTGTTGGATGCTTATTCTGGAAAGTGAAAAGGAAGGAAAGATTTTCTTGCTTTGGATATAACTTTAATAACTGCAGTCTATTATTTTTAACATGAGACATGAACATTAAAATTAGCCAAGTGCCAAGCGTACAAATGCAGCTCTGATCTACAGTCTACACAGAACTTGCTACCAATTTTTAAAGACAACAGGTAATGAAGATGAAAGGTTTGGACCACATTTTAGACTTTTTCACAGATGCAGACGAAAGACAGAAGGACATCAGAGGCTTCTAACTTATGCCTACCAAGCAGAGACTACGTAGAAATGAAGTCCATGAAATCTCCTGAGGACAGGGACTCTTCTCTGCTAGGACCATCTGAGGGTTAGAGGGATGTGGCAGGCCAGGGAGAGGAGAGCATGCACCACACTCTTAAGGGGTGGTACAGTCACCATGCTACTCCTTCCACAAAGGAGATCTACTTTTGAAGCACAGACAACTTGTGCCTCCTGATACCGGAGGGAGGGAAGAGGGGGACAACGTATAGGGAGGGACATGTGATTGTCCCTCATGTCACCTCTGGAAGGAAATTCCAGCCCCACCTCCCTGGGCCAGAGCAGCCAATTCCACGGGTTCCTGGGGGGCTGAGGCCACAGGAGCAGGTGCTTCTGAGCCCAGCTGGGACTGGCCCTGGCCCGGGAAACTTTCAGCACCAATGTCTCCCCAGAGCTCACAGATACCACAGCAGGGGAGCACGGGAAATGCCCCTACCACCAGCTGAGCAGAGGGGTGGGAACCTGCTTCTAGCACTTTCCCCAGCAACCTCCTGTCCTGCACCCAGCCCAGAGACCACCCTGTTCTCCCCACCCTACCAGAATTACCTGCAGGGGGTGAAGGGGGCTATGCCTCCCCTGGCACATTTCCAGCTCGCTCAACCCCACTCCCTGGCAGCCAGCCCTGGGCGGGAGCAGGATGGAGCCCCTTCTCACGCCAGCTGAAGTGGCCACTTGAGATCAAGGTCGCTGCCTCTGTGCAGCGCAGCAGCTGCCTAAGAGAGCGCCCAGCTGGGGAAGCAGCAGCAGCAGCCCGCCCCCTACACTCCCTGCCCGGCCCAACCTTCTGGGAACAGGGACCAAACAAGCTGGAAATGTGCCAGAAAAGGGGAGGCCTAAGTTTCTTCTGGCACAGCAGGCTATCAAGGTCTGTGCGGGGAGGGGAGAGGCGCCTCCCCCACCGTCCCAGCCTCGGATCTGCCACGACCAGGGGAAGAGATGCCTCTCCCCAATCCCAAGCCTTGCAGCTACCGTGGCTGGGGGAGAGGCGCCTCTCCCCTGGCTCAGGCTGCTGCCACAAGAGAGGGCTGGGGGGAGTCCTCTCTCCCCAGCACAGCCCCAGGATAGCCTGAACCCCAAACCTCTCATCCCCGGCTCCACCCCAGAGCCCTCACCCCCAGCCAGAGCCCTCACCCCTCTGTACCCCAACCCTCTGCCCCAGCCCTAAGCCCCCTCCCACACCCTAAACCCCTCATCCCCAGCCCCACCCCAGAGCCCATACTACCAGCCAGAGCCCTCACCCCCCCACACACACCCCAACTCTCTGCCCCAGCCCTGAGCCTCCTCCCACATATCAAACCCCTCGGCCCCACCCCTGCCACACATCACCTACATATTGGTGCACATAACAAAATTCATTCCAGACATGGATGTAAAAAGTTAGAGGGAACATTGTGGGAGCCTCTGGCTTGCTCAGTCTCTATCCCCAGCAGCCATGCCCGGGAGGAGAGCAGAGGGGAAGGGCCACTGCTGCCTCCCCAACCAGGTTCTCACAGGCAGTCACTGAGCTGCACAGAGCAGTGACCCGAGCGGCTACCCTCAGAAAGCATAAGAACCGGCTTCGTCCTGCCCCTTCTGCTCTCTGCCTGGGCTTGGCTGCCAGGAATAGGGGCCAAACATGTAAGGGGGCAGGTGCAGCAGGAGAAGGACAGAGCCCCTCTCCCTCTGGGGGAGGGGGCGCTTCCCCCCAACACACACACACATCACCTATGTGAAGCACAGTGCCCACTGGAGCTCAAATGAGACAGTTTCCTCTGGCACAGTCACAACATGGGTTGCTCCTTTACAGAACCAACTAGCTCTATGGATGTTAGTAACATTGTCATTTGCCTGTTTTTGTAAAGCAATATTCAATTAAGAATATTTTTATGATAGCAAAAAAATCTACTCAAAAACAGATTTTTTTTCTCCTTCACTGTTCCTTTTTATGTCCAGCTATTGAAGAAAGATTACTTCAATAAGAATTTTTCATTACCTTCCTTCCAAAATATCTGTCTTCAGTTGTAAGAAGAATAAATGCCTAGAAAACAGAATTTGGAAGAGTTGATTCATGTTCAAATATCAGATTTAATCATTTCTAAGAAATCTATATATAAAATTAAGTTATATGCATGTATTTACAAACAAACTATATGTACAAAAGTATAAGCCTACTTGGATATTCCTTTAAATCTTTAACTATGTGACTGCTCACGGTCATTCACAAGAATTAAGGTCTTTTGTAGTTCCTATTAAAAGCCAGTTCCAATCTTTAATTAGGTTAAAGGGTCACTGTTAAATGATTAAAGGTTTCCTTGGATTCAAATACTAAACGCACTGCCTCCAAAGTGCCCCCACTTAGTCAGTCTCAGGGGATAAGAGCCAGTTAACTCAGTCTTATGCATAAAATTGCAGAATAAAACCATTAGAAAATGAGGCTTGCCTAGCTCCCATGAATTTTGATTTTAGATCTAACCATCTGTCGAATCTGTGTATCAAACATCTTCTTTATAACAATAAATTATTGGTTTCAAGAGCTCATTCATAAAGTAGCTCCAATGCCTTCATATTTAAGATAGGATCAGAAATCTTAGTTATATATGAATCAATCACAATTTCTTTTTATTCATACATTCTAGTCTTTGACAGCTATTTGTATGGCACATAAGCTGGTATCATTAAAATTTAAAAGGACAATTTAGTAATGACATCTAAAAAGGGTTTGAACTCTACAAATGTTTGCATATTCATAATGTAATAGTGGCTGAACCAACTTTTTATTTGATTAAGGTGAAACTCCGTGCATGGTCTGCATGTGCTCTTCTTAAGGGAAAAGCCACATGACGTTACTATGTTATCAAATACATTAAACACATAATGCAAAAACATCAAGATTTACAATTCATTTGTCAAGTCTGTATGCTCTGCTTGAAAATCATACATGCTTCACCTGTCAGTCAATGGATTCATAGATAAAATGCATAATGCACAATTCTGTATTTAACTATGGAAGCACTGTTTACAATTCCATAGTTAAGGATGAATTAAATTTAGCAGTTAAAACTGGGATTCAACCACTGTATTATTATTTATTATTTGTATTATCATAGCACCTAGGACTCCTATTCATGGACCAGGATCCCATTGTGACAGGCACTGAACAGACTCAGAAGACAGAGACACTCCCGCCCCAAAAGAGCTTATATTTAGATTATAAAATAAGAGAGAAAAAAATGGATGCAGACAGAGTGACACTGGAGTACAAAAGGAAACAATAGGACAATATTGGTCAGCATGATAGGCAGTGGTCTCTGCACAACAGCAGCCTAGTTGGCAAGTTCTTTTAGGCCTTGCAACAAAGGAGAGTTTTAAGGGTTTTGAAGAAGGATAATAGTTAGTTTTGCGGAGCTTCTCTTGTGGAGAGACAGCATGGAGGTGCCTGTTTGAAAACATAACAAGTGGGCAATAGAAGCTGATATCATGGATCGACTGGAGACAGGAGTCATCTTTTTGATACTTAATGAGAGGTGATAGATAAAGTGGTAATAGGTAATGAAGGACCTTGAAAGTAAAGACAAGTAGTTTACATTTGATACAATAGAAAAGAAGGAGCCAGTGAAGGGATGCAAAGAAGTGTGACATGGTCAAAGCGATTGGATAGGAAAATGATCTTTGCAGCAGCATTCTGAATGGGTAACAGTGGGGCAAGATTGCATTTGTCAAGGCCAGAGAGAAGAATGTTGTAATAATTGAGACATGAAATGATAAGAGCCTAGACAAGAGTTTCAGCTGAGTGGAAGGATAGCAAAGGCCGTATCTTAGAGATGTGATACAGAAAGAATCTGCAAGACTTAGACATAGCCTAGATGCGATGACCTAAAGAGATCCAAGTTAAAAATGACACCTAGGTTATGGGTCTGAGTGACAGGAAGAATGGTGGTGCTGTTCACAGTGAACAAGAAAGGAGGTTGCAGGGAGGGTTTTTTTCAGGGGTGGTGTGTGAGAGAGCAGAGATTAAAAGCTCTGTTTTTGTTTGAAACTGACAACACTTTCCCTGAGTACAGAACGAGTTTTTTTCTGAGAATTTATAAGTAAATCTTAGTCTGAGAGTTACAAAAAAATATTTAAAACGGGTTCTTTAATAAATGTAGCACTCTATGTCACAACAAATTTTTTGTCCTTATTGATTTCAGTAACAAAACAGTCTTCAAAACTTCCTATGTAGTAAAAACTCACTGAAATCTTGTACAACTTAGGCTAGGTCCACACCACCCGCCCGATTCGGTGGGTAGAGATCGATCTTCTGGGATCGATTTATCGCGTCTCATCTGGACGTGATAAATTGATCCCAGAAGCGCTCCCCCGTCGACTGCAGAAATCCTGCTCGCCGAGAGGAGGAAGCGCTGTCGACGGGGGAGCTTGCCTGGGCCACGTGGACCCGCAGTAAGTAAACTTAGTTCGATCTAGGAAACGTTGACTTCAGCTACGCTATTCTCGTAGCTGAAGTCGACGTTTCCTAGATCGATCCCCAGCCCCAGTGTGGACCAGCCCTTAGCCTCACTCCCATTAGGAACAATGTGAGATGGTGTTCATTTTGAAGAAGGGCTTTGCCCTACAGTGACACCACAAGTAATTTTTTTATATGAATAGGTCTTTAAAATCAGTTTAATCTAATCGAGGACTATAAACACTGTTATGCACTTATAGTTGTATGGGTATTGTATGGCATCACTACAGAACTGAGTTATGGTTGTCTGAGTGCCTTCACTGTTCACTTCCAAATCTCAATATGTTTGGATTCTTTTATATAACTGTAAGGGGTCAGACTCACCCCTGCGGCACCCCCTGCTGGTCGTCTGGGGAATCAGCTCAATCCAGCCCGGAGCGCCCTCTGCAGGCCAGTGATCCGCCTTGTCATCTGCACTGGCCCCCGTGTTCCTCCCAGGACCCTGGTGCCCCTTGCTCTGGGTGCTGCCCCCTGGCAGTACCCACACACGCTGGGTCTCCCCTCCCCGGGGAACCCCCACCCACTAACCCCACCTCGCCTCAGTGCAAGGCTACTGCCAGTCATCGTCTAGCCCCACGCCTGGGGCAGACTGCAGTATCAGCCTACTCATCACTGGCAAGGAGGGTTTGGACCTGATGCCTTGGCCTACACCTTGGTTGCCCTCTGCAACCCCCAGTACCCCTTAGCCTAATAAGAGGCCGCAGCCTGGGGCTTTCCAGGCTGGAGCTCCCCAGCTCCTTAGCCTTTCCCCCGCCCTGCTCCACTCAGGTACTCTGTCTTAGCTCCCTACAGCCATGCCCTTCTCTTTCTGAACGCAGAGAGAGACTCTGTCTGAGCTCCTGGCTCCCTGCCTTTATAAGGCCAGCTGAGTCTGTTTGGGGCGTGGCCCCAGCTGCAGCCACTTCCCCCGAATCAGCTCAGCCTTCCCTGCCCCAGCCTTCTCCCAGGGCAGTTCCAAACCCCTCAGGTCAGGAGCAGGTGTCCACCTCACTACAATAACCATAACTCTGAATTTCTTGGGTTTATTATGATTGGTTCTGGGATGATTTCACCATCACTTTAGTGTTTTTACCATGGAGCATACATAACAGTAATTTAGAAGTTTTAGTGTGGGAATACTGTATAATTGTTTACTTACATAAGGAAAACTACTCCTACTTCTTCTCATCCCAAATGGCAATTATTTTGTGCTTTAATTTTCATTCTAGCTCAAACCTGAGAGGCTATGAATACCTACAAGGCCCATTGATTGGAAGTTGTAGATGTTAAACCTCACCCAGTATTACATCATTTGTGAAGAATTTATCTTATTTATTGCATATTCTAGTTACATTAAGAAATTAGGTTTAATGTGGTAATGCCATGTGGCATAAACATTTCCTATATTCTACCAAGGGCTTCTACCAAGTGCTTCTGTAAACCATGCAATGGATATAACATTGAACACTTGGTTTCTACTGTTCTCATAAAATGTAGAGTGCTCACAGGACACACTCCATGGTAAGACTGCATGATTAATATTTTAAAGTGTAAAAAATGCAAAAAGTTAAGGATCCTATATCAAAAGTAGCTACAATATTGTACTTCATAACTGTAATGACACTACAAAATATATAAGCTATAATAATTACAAGCAAAAAGAAGTTAAAAGAATTACATTACAATATCATGCATTTGAAATGCCTGATTTATGGTTGCGCATGCAACTGTAATTTTGTCTCTTTGTATATGCACCCTGTACACTGAATGAGGCAAAGGTCTCAGACTACAAAATAGTATATGATAATTTAATTAAAGATTGTATTAAAATACATATGCACAAAACCTGAAAGGAATTTCATGGTCAAAAAAGGAACTTCTCTGACCAGAGGACTTCCCCCTCTTGAATTTCAAAGGTCTGCTGCAACAATAGAGGTGTTAGAGCTTTTCAGAAAAATTTTATAATCATTTTTTATAATGAAAAGTATTAAGCAACTTAACAATGGAGGAGGGGGCAAGAGGGAGGTTGCTCCCCCAAAATGAGGAAAAAATGAACTACTACATGTGTTCAAACTGGCCAAATCAAAGTTGCTGTAGAAGCACTAAAGTAACAGTCAGGAGATTGTGCAACCTTTATTTTTAAAAATGATTATATTTAGTGGAAAGAAAGAATTACATGAATGCATACTTCTGGGAAGCATTTACTGCTTTAACTACAGGTGTTTAGTGTGCAGTGGCAGAGTCCCTAGGGCCAGTTAGTGTAGGAGTTCAAGGTTTTTCTTTCTGAGGCCCCCCCAACATGCTATAAAAATTCCAGCGCCTAGCGGGGGGGGGCTGGGTTTCTGAACTTCAGCCATGGGGGAACTTGGGGCTCCAGCTGTGGTGGGGGGGGGTAGGGGAGGGCTCATGGCATTGGGGCTTCTGTCCCGTGGGGCGAGGGGGGGACTTGGGGCTCCAGGCTTCTGCCCTGCAAGGCAAGGGGGCTCCTGGCTTTAGGTCTGCAGGGCAGGGGCTGCTCAGGGCTCACGGACGCCCTAAAACAGCTTGCAGACTCCCAGGGGGCTGTGTACCCCTGATTGAGAACCACTGAATCAGTGAACAGAAAGCTAGTGCACTATAAAATTACATCCTGGCTTGCGAAGCTCTAACTTTCCATGTAAACAAGCACTACGAGCCATATCCTGCAAGCACTCCATTGCGAAATCTCGATCTTCCATGTCAGTGTATTCAGAAATAGGCCCTTTGTTTGTTACAAACATATATTACTTGTGTTCAGTGATGTGTGGGGCCCTGAGTCAGTGATGCATGCAACAGCAATGAATTAGTTGAACATTTCTCACTTTTGGAGGAGAGTTATTGGTTTCAGGCAAATCTATATCCTATTTTGAATTGTGTGTTTGATTTTTGGATGTGTATCCCTTTCCCATTTCTTGATTCTAGTAAGATGGTTTCTCCACATAACAGAATACCTTAGTATTCTCAATTAGAACTCAGTTATAAAAGTCTTGTTGAAATTGTAACACAAGTCATATATGGTCCCTTAGAAATACAATAAGTTACCTTATGAAACAGGCTGTTTTGATAATGAAAGGCTATATGATTTTCTGGTACGCTAAAGGCCAGCATGATTCATGTTTTTTCATATCAACACTACTCACACTGCATATGTTGCGCCTTCCTTGTGTGACACACACAGAGCTGATATGTAATACTGTTATGAATACTGGGATGTCACAATTTTACGAACATGGTATGCGACTGGATCAGTGAGGGGAAGTTACTGCATATTTGATTATTAGAATTTCCTGCATGACTCTATTGACCGAACTTGTACTGGGGGTAACAGCATGTTATTTTACATCGACAGGGCTCAAAATTAAGGGAGTCTGTAGCTGAAGGTGACACGGGGCTTCCCACATAAGAACCCCCAAGCACACACTTAAAAGAATGGGGTAAGCGGTTAGGTTCAAGGATCCTGTCTCTTGACTATAACCAGTTGCAAACCTTGTTCTGCCAAAGCTAGGAGTTACCAGATCAAAGAGTTATAAACAGTGTTTTAAAAAGTGGCTCAATTCCTATGAAAGGGCTGAGTTGCCAGGGGCTGACCAGGGAGAAAAGTTGACAGTAGCTGGAAGATGAAATTCCCAGTTCAGGAATACACTAAAATCGCAGCATGTCTACAGTGGCTTGGGTAAGCTGCTCAAATACGTACCTAGGGTCTCAGACAGGGTTGTCTTCGGGCAGCTAGCCTGAACTGCTGTGGCTATTCTGCTCTTTTTAGCATGTTAGCTCCAACCGAGCTAGAACAGGTCTATCTACCCAAGCTGGGAATTACACCTCCCAGCTGCTGCATAGACCTACCCAGAGAGGCTCAATGGAAAAGTCTAAAGGGAGTTAGTCATACTAGGGTCCCTGTGTGGAAGATGGTTAAACACCGGAAAACTAGATATACGCATAGTCTTTTTATTATTTGGTTTTTTAGATGTTGTATCTGAAATGCTTGTGTTCTAAATACAAACCTTGCTTTAAGAAGGCTGTTTGGTAACTATTGCCCTAGAGGATACAGAATTGCAGGGTCTGGACAAAAGCAGATCTGCTGAGGTAAATCACGGGTGATACACAGGGGACTGCTACCAGGGCCCACTCTGAGCATAGGAGAATCATATGATACCACCTCCAGACAGAGGTGACAGTTTGAGGCCAGAGGTCTACACTCAGGATATACTCCGAAAGACCAGGCGGAGTCAGAGATGCAATTAACCTATTAACTGTGACACCTTGTGTCACATTAAACTATATGCCTGAACCTTCTGAAAGTAAGCTCTACGTGGCAGGAACTATTCAGTCTGTGCCCTATGACCAGTTGTATAGCATCATACACACCTATAACACTATATAAATACTAAACACTTTACTTAAATAGCAAATCCCCACACCTTTTATATTAAACAGATTTCAGAATAAATATATAGAATAAATTGCAGTCTAACATCAGAAAATAAAAAGAGACTGTTACGAATTCTTAGTTGATGAATGTAAATTTTGAAAATAAAGTTACCTGGTTTGTTCCTGCTGCAGTGTGTTGGGATCAGGTATAAAAAATCTTACTCGAAAATGGATGGTGCAGGGAAAACCTCCTACAACGTTTTACAAAAGTAAATCAGTATTTCTATTTTTTATTTATTTCTGTAAAATTTATAGAAAAAACTACAACAGAAAATAACCACATAATATGACAAATCTGATTTACTTTCTTTTTTTGACATGGGAAGAAATCATGAAATATATCTGTTCACTATTCCCGCACTCCCACTATATTGTTAAGTCTTTTGCTACTTTCAGAGCAAGAACACACAAATATATCTTTCTTTGAAAAACAATCCTGTTCATGAAGCAGTTATCAGCATGGTCTATTCAGTTCCCTTCTTTTATATTTTTAACAGTGCCATTTTTAACATAGCAATTTGTGTTGGAAAAAAGTACATTCCATTCCTTCTGGTATTAAAAGAGGAAAGTCTTAAAAAAGAGGAAAATACACCTGATGCAAGTATCTCATAAGACAAGCAAGAATGTTATATCAGGAAAATTTAGAGAATCCTCTGTATTTCCTCTTGTGGAAAATAAACAGTAACAAAGCTTTAACAATTATTGTGCATAACTAACTTTTAACCTTATTTAAAATCACACACAAGCTACCAAATGAGCTAGAATCAGGAGATCAAAAACAGAATTTATGTTTCAACTTCACTAGTGATTATATAGCTTTGACTACATCTGCACTGAGTAAAAAATTGTTACCAGAAGTTGTTTATAAATAGTTCATGCTAAAAATAATTATGCCCTGTAATTTTTTTTTGTTTAAAGACTGAGTTCAAACACTAGAGACTAATTTTGCTCCACTCTGGCCAGACTAAGAGCTTTACCTGAAATATTTGAAACCATTACACTCTTACCCCATCAACTACTTACTCTCCCCTCTACTGCTGACATTAGTGGGAACAGTAATGTACAGAGGTCACCAGACAGCTACTATTTTCACTACTGTGTTGTCTAACTTTGCTCAGACCAGAGCTAGAGGACAGAGTGGTAATGTTGGTTACCTACAGTGTCTAATCTACATTGGAGCAGCTACCACTACTGAAGCTTAACCAGTAGTAAGAACTGTGGGAAGTTTTGCCAAAAAGTCTACTGTTAATGCCCAAAAGTGAAGTTCAGAATTGTGTTTCTTCTAATCAACGATATAGGTAGAAGAGGAATTCAGGCCAGAAAAAGTTAGATTTTTACGTAAAGTATCTTACCTTTAAGCTGTTTTCTAACAGGTTTGCTTGATTCGAGCCATCGCTGTGAAATGAAAAATTAGATGATTTTTTTTAAAAGAACTTTTAAAATATAGTTTTTTTAAATTTAACACTATACTTACAGGGGAATCTACTGACTCTTCACTTTGTTGTAAACCAAAATATTCCTTCTCTGTCACACCCAAGTGGTTATAGGCCATATCCAACAAAACCTGACCAGTATCTTGTTTCTGAAAACAAAGAACACTCCATAAATGAAAGGCACACTCTTTTGTTTTTAATTAAAAATCTAAACGGAAAAATTGGTTATAAAATTTAGTATATAAATAAAATGGTTAAAAGTTTCTCAGAACAGAGATCATTAGACATAGAGTACATTAAAGTGAATAATCTCTCGCTAAAATAACATTCTTAAGGTTGCCAAAGTCGTACTCAAAAGTTCAGAAGTATCAGAATTTAGGTTGTCTATACAACCTTAATTCTGCCCTCCTTGTGAACGCATAGTGATACAGTCTTTAATAAAATGATTACATACTATTTGTTCTCCAGGACCCCTGCCTCATTCAGTGCACAGGATGGATGATGTCAGTGGCATAACAAGGCCCCAGAGTGCCCTGGTGCAAGAACAGGTGAGGGGTCCCCTCTCCCAGCCTCCTCATTCTCCAGGGTGGGTACCTGGGGACCCCAGTCACCCCCTGCAACCCTCCCCCAGCCGCCACCTTACCCTCTACTGCCTGGGGCATGGGTCCTGCTCCCCATCTGCTCCCTGCCACCCTTCCCCTGCTGCCACTCAGCTCAACCACAAGGGGAGCTGGATATCTGCCACTCAAGTCCTCACACTCTGCATCCCAGCCTGAATTCCCCACACGGCCCCCCCATATTCCTCACCCCCAGCACACACCCCTAGCCCACATACTCTGCTTGGCCTCCAGCAACTCACTCCAACCCTCAGTCCGCCTTCTGCACCTTTCTGGATGAACTCCTCACTGCTGAAGCAGTGGTCGCACAGTGAATCTAAAGTGGCAGCGGGAGGCTTTCCAGGCAGTGAGGCTCACGGGGACTGGAGTGGTAGGTGTGGCCTGAAGCCCTGGCAGAGCCATCAGGAGCAGCCCCGAGCCGCTCAGTCACAATCTTACTTGCACTGGGGAGCCAGGGGCAAGAAGTAGCTACAGAGGGGCCAAGGGAGTGCTTCCCCAGCAGCCCATCTGGGGATAGCTTCCTACTTCTCAGAGCCCTTGAGGGAGGGGCAGGAGCCCTCCCCCAGCAGCTTGGTTGAGCGGGCCACTAGGCTGCCTATAGGTGGAGTGGTCTCTGCTGGTTGGGCCCCATCACCTCATGGGCCCAGGGCAAATGCACCACAGGATGGTGCTACATTAATAAGAAACTACTCAATATTTTTGATTCTCATTATTCAATGTATGCCCAGGCCTTTTCTTCTGCACACTAGTCAAACTCTGCTCTGAAGACAATTATGGATTTCCCCATATACTTATCTATGGCACTCATCATTACAGTATCTGAATGCTTCACAAACATTAATTTTTTTTAGGTGAAGTGAGGGGATAGAATTAGTCCCGTTTTACGAATGGCAAACTGAGGCACAGAGGTGAAAAGTATCCACTAATTGTTGGTGCTCAATCTGAGATGCCTAGGACCTGATATTTCAGAGTACTTATTATTAGATATCACTTTAATATGTTCAAGCACAGCTCCCACTGACTTCTGCAGTTGTGAGTGTGATGCTTCCCAGCAGTACCCCGAGTTATGATGCACCTCACTACCACCTGCCCTTAGCGTGAGGAAGCCTTGTCAGTGCCTGCCAGGGGTCAGCTCCTGACTCCACCAGCCACAGGCAACACAACCCTCCCCTCTCAGACTATGCAGACTGTATCGTCCCTTTGCAGATAGATTCACCCCAACCCCCAAGTCGTCTGGGCATTCCCCAGCCGCTCATCCATCAGACACTCCTTATATATAATCTGCACATACATTTCCCAAAGATTATGATGACCAGCGTGACACAGGCTTTCAGTAGAGATCTTACATTACACTTTTTAGTGAACTAGTATGTAAATACTAGACCCAAAGAATGCCAGGTGGCATCTAGAGGACCTTGGGTCACAGTGAGTGATCAGAACTTCTGAAAAATCAAGTCAGAGAGTCTCAAGGTATCTTTCAGAGGATCCTTCTCATCTACCTTTCTGTGTCTATGTCCTTGGTCCCCTTTTCTTCTCCCTTTACATTTTATCTCCCAGTAATTTCAACCCCAAACAGAAATTCAACCACTATCTCTATGCTGATGACTCACAGATCTACCTCTCTACATTAGACATCTCATCCTGCCTCTGACATCTCCTCATAGATACATAGCTGTCAGCAGTATTCTGTCTAATTTTTTACATCCATGTGCGGAAATAATTTTATGTACGCCAATATGGATGTGATGTGTGGTGGCGGTGGGGCTGAGGGATTCAGCGTGTGGGAGGGGGCTCAAGGCTGCGGCAGAGAATTGAGGTGCGGGGGATTGAGGGCTCTGGCTGGGGGGGGGTGAAGGCTCTGGGTTGGGGCTGGGGATGAGGGGTTCATGGTGGAGGGGGCTCAGGACTGGGGCAGGAGTTCAGGGTGCGGGAGGGAGCTCAGGGCTGGGGCAGAGGGTGTGGGGGGGTGAGGGCTCCGGCTAGGGATGAAGGCTCTGGGATAGGACTCGGGATGCTTGGGGTGCAGGAGGGGGCTCAGGGCTGGGGCAGAGGGTTGGGGTGCAGGGGGTGAGGGCTCCGGCTGGGGGTGCAGGCTCTGGGGTGGGGCAAGGGAGGAGGGGTTTGGAGTGTAGGCTTGCTGCCGCAGATCAGGGCCAGGTGAGAGGTGCCTCTCCCCAGCCACGTCAACTCCAGTGGGGCTCGGCTGGGGGAGAGGCGCCTCTCCATGGCCACAGCAGTTCCGGTGGGGCAGGACTGGGCTGGACTGGGGTAGGGGAGCCTCTCCACGGCTGCTCCGGCAGGGCAGGGCTGGGCGCCTCTCCCCAGCAGCAACAGCTCCGGTGGGGCTGGGCTGGACCGGGGGAGGAGCACCTCACCCCACCTGACGGCCCTTGATAGCCTGCCGTGCGGCCGCACAGCTTAGAGGCAATATAGGCTGTCAGTTCAAGCTCAACAAGGCTAAAACAGAGCCCTTCATCTCAGTCCCTCTCCCAAGCACTACCTCCTTTCTCACTGCAGACACCACCACAGCCTGCCCATTGCTCAGGTCCATATCCCGGTTGTCATCTTCAACTTGAACCTCGCATGAAGTCGTCCCATCCAGGCTATATCTAAATTTTGCCATTTTTTTCTCTGCATAACATTCTAAGATGCGGTCTTTCCTATCCATCCACACGTTAAAATTCTTGTCCAGGCTCTCACCATCTCATGTCTGAGTTACTGCAACATCCTCTTCTGTCTTGATAATCTTGCCCCACTCATAATATCCATTCAGAACGCCGCTACAAAGATTTCTCCTAACCTGTCGCTTTGACTATTCACCTCTCTCTTTGCACCCTCTATCACTTCAAATGTAAGCTTCATGTCCTATCCCACCCTCCCAATCATTTCTCTTTCACTACCAAGATGTTGTCTCATGTCTCCAGTCATCCCATGATGGCAGCCTCCATTGCCACCTTATTATATTTTAAAACAAGCACCTTCATGCTACCCCTCCTGCTTGGGAGGAGCTCCCCATAATCATCCCCAAAGCTACCTCATTATCCACCTTTAAATCCCTCCAAAAAAGTCTTGTTTTCACTAATGCCTATAAAAAACTTAACATTTGGGCCACTAGTGTGCTGAGACCACTGCCTATTGTGACCAATATTGTCTCATTGTTTCCTTGTACTCTCCTGCTTGTTAGCAACCATCTGTCGTCTCTGGTGTTATACTAGATTGTAAGCTCCTTCTGACAAAGACCCTTCTAATGTAGAATCATAGAATCATAGAATATCAGGGCTGGAAGGGACCTCAGGAGGTCATCTAGTCCAACCCCCTGCTCAAAGCAGGACCAATCCCCATACAGATTTTTGTCCCAGATCCCTAAATGGCCCCCTCAAGGATTGAACTCACAACCCTGGGTTTAGCAGTCCAATGTTCAAACCACTGAGCTATCCCTCCCCCCCACACACAGCTGTAGACACAGCTGTAGACACAGCTATGCCAGCTAAAAAGTGCTTTTGTCATTGCAGTTTATATAGGCTTGTTGAGTGAAATAAGCTGTACTGGCAAAACCATTTTATGCCAGCGCAACTATTTCTACAGTACAGCTTTGACCAGCATAAAGTCTCCCCCTAATTCTCCCACCGCTCCCAAAAATAAATCATACCCTAACTGACATTGCTATGCTGGCCAAATTTTTAGTGTAGACCAGTCTTCGCCACATCATACTTTGAGATCCTCTGATGAAGTGTACCATCAAGTGCCAAGTACTTTATAAAGGTAGGTATTTTTATCCCCATTTTACATGGGAGGAAACAGAAGCAACAAGATGATTGTAATGAGTTGCGTTTGAAGTAGAATTCAGTTCTCCTAACCCCCAATGCCCTAGTGTAATGATTAGGCCATAAGGTATCCAATAGGTAGAGAATAAAGTTATGGGCACTCCACATGAAACAACGTATTTGTGATCGCAGAAACCTTTCCTAAAACTCGCATTTAAAAAGGTATCCTAATATAGGAGAAATCAATATTAGGAGATGTAAACATTTTTCTACAGAGATGAAGCGCTTTCAAAATTCCTACTTATTCTGGCATTAAAATGCAGGCCACCTCATCTTTTACACACACACACACACACACACACTTCAGATTACTATCAAGAATTTAATACCTGGCAGTGGACATTCTTTTCAGTTTAACCACTTCATAACAAGTGTTCACAATAGTCACCTCCATTAAAAAGATCCCTCCTGAATTTAACCTCATTGATACAAACTTGGCAGATTTATTAAACATAGGACTGCCACAGTCAAAACATTTCCACCATGCACCTACTTTCCTCCTCTGACACTTATTAGAATTACTTTCCAGATTTATGTGGATAATTGTAGAGCTGACAAACTCAAAATCCTCTAGCTTCTTAGAGGGCACAATGCTATTGTCTTCGACTTCGATTACAAGTTCTCTAAATATATTCTTTAATATTTATATTCACTAGTGCCTAGAGGCTAAGTAGGCTGGGGCCATATTGTGCTTGTTGCCGTATAGAC